TTGCACGTCAGCTTCAGTATACTCTCTCTGGGTTTGTAGTTGTTGAGACATCACGCGTTATTGTTGGGACGTTGTTTTAGTGGGGGAACTGCGGCGCTCGGTGGGGTGCGGCGCTCGGTGGTGAAACACGTTATCAACTTTCCCAAAAAAAAGACCCCCCCTACACTTTGTGATCCCCACTTATTTTATGAATATCGGGAATCTCCTTTTTTTTTCCTTGACTAGCCGCGGGGTCACGTTAGTAGTGTTGCAAAGATACAAAGGCTAACAAGCTGTGTCATAGGAGGAACCAGGTTCCAAGGTTGTATCAATACCTGTTCCAAGAATGTTTGGAAATTAAGGTGCTGCATAAGGGTATCTAGGTAGGAGTTCCTCTCGTAGAAAAGAGGTTAAGCTTGGCTGGGGCTAGAATGGATGGTTGTATTGGAGTGATGGTTAGGTTACGGTCATGCTCAGTCTAGTCTCTTTTAAGTGATGCGTCTTGTCTAGCATTTGAGTACTCAACCTAGTGAGCTTACTATGTGTGGCTTTGGCATGCCGTTACCACAGAATGTATAAACTAGGGCAGTATGGAGAAGTACTCTACGTTTATCTTAGGGCGTTTCTACGAAGCCAGATCCGTGCTTCTAATGCTCAGGCTGAAGACCAGTGTATGTCTTTTTTTATATATGACCTTTTGTTGCTTTGCGTATTGCGCCTAGGTGATGGCTTCGTGTCTTATACTAGTAGCTCTCGCTCCCTATCGCACGTTCAACTTACTCAATTTTTTTTTATTTTAGTTTGATCCATGTGTTTACTGTCCTTTCATCTGCACTACGTATGAAGCGATGTACTCCACGGTCGGCAAAAGTCCCAGTGCAGCCGGCCTGCGCCTTCTACTTACGTACGTACGCATCCCAAAAAACGCACAGACCATCCAAGGCAGACATTCGGCCTCAGCCTCAGCCTTCCTTGAATTTAGCCATCAAGGAGTTTTTCTGATTGCCTCTCTCCCGATGATATCTCCAATGAAGTAAACCATCCTTGTCTTAAAAGAGTCTGCTGCTTTGTTTCCGACAACATGGAGAAAGCAGCACTTGTCCTTGGTGTTGGTCCAGGAGCTGTGATCTTCCTTTCGGCAGCACGACAATGGCTTCGGTACTTGTCGAGTATCGTTTTCTTCACAAAATACTATGGACTTAGTGGATTAGTGTTATGCTTCTTCGGAAACCGCGACATTTGGCGCATTCAAGTACAGGTGTTACGAAGTACGAGCGACATAGACGCCATGAACTTCCGAAAGTCAGCGCAGGAGGAATGCAGCATAATAGCTGTGGCTGTGCGTACATGTGTCTAGTCTCGGGTAGCTAGACATCAGGAACTGACTGCTAGACTTTTAGAGCACTATTCTAGCACAAATTGCTATCACGGCACTCTCTTTGGAAAACCTTGACCGAACACCCTGGGTTGCCCGAGGGTTCTTTGTTTTCAGCCTCGTCTCGTCAATTATCGCTGTTTACTACGCCACAAGACAGTACTGTCATCTGGGCAGATTCCTCTATGCCAAGGATGTACGGGCATGGATTCGTGGGCACAGTATTTTGAATGAGGATCTGTACCCACGCATGGCAATGGCAGTTGCTCATCTTAACAGCGACTCAGCTTTTCGAGTAGTGGGAGCAGATCTGCCTTCGGTTGCCTCGGTTTTGACCATTGCAGCCCCTACTATGCTTCTCAACAGTTCTCTTAACGCTTTCCTGGTGGGACTCGGCATCTACCTTGGCTTCGTTTGGACATGGGATCTGAACAAGATTGCAGGGGCATCAAGTAGTCGAGCAGTATTTATTACGTTCATGGTTGGCTTGGTGGTATGCTACTGGATCTACGCAATATCTAACGTGATTGTAGCTGACCAGAGCTACGTCAGCGAAGCGGAGTTGCTAGGAGAGAAAGATCCTCTTCGATCTTTCTTTGGGATACGCGAGAAAGACGAGGAAAGTGCAAGGGTTGGCGGGAAGCCTTCTATCGCTCAGCATATTTCTTCCCAAGAAGTACCATCGGATAACACTGGAAGGGCAAGCACATCAGCAGCACCACTTGGAGAATCATCTCAAGAACAAACAGATGGAAGCAATGGCACTGAGGGTGTGTCTGTTCAAAGAGAGCTTGCGCGAGTCCTCCAAGAAGCAGCTAGACTCCGCAAAGAGTCTGCTAAAGTTGATGAACGTGTGGCTCAAATTCTGGAGAAACTTGCAAGAGGTAGTAAAGAGTAACTTTGGTACAATCTGGAGAGAAGGTCCGTTTTCATCCTCATGTGGTGTCGAATAGACTTGGTAGTTGATGAGAATGTTTCAAGTCTATGGCTTTGTCTGTACCCGTATGTCGTTGATTCGTATAAGAAAGTGTGGATTTATAATGATGTGATGGTAGTGTTATACGCGGTATTAAAACAGTAATGGTTTCAATGTCCGGCTCAGCCTCAGTGTGGATTACAAATGACGTGTGTGGGGTCGGCGTTGTGCCCCTCCGACAGGGTCCCCGACAAAAAAGTTCGCCGCCAAAGGCGCAATTTTGACATTTCTAAGCAGCGCAAGACGAAGACTCATATATAATCTTCTTGGGTACAGAGAGACGCCAACAAGATATACTCCACACCCCACCGAGTGGAAGCAAAAAAAAGTCTACGCAATGGCTGTCCCCAACCCCACTTCAAATCAGCCCCAGCACGACGAGGAGGATATCGACGTACATGGTGTGGACAATACGATAGACGCCGATGAGGCAGAAGAGATTCTGGAAGATGATGGCGATGTACCCATGGACTCGGACGACGATGACGAGGGAGGACGCCAGGAGGCCGAGATGGAAATCAATCTACAGAACGACTCGATTGCGCATTTTGATCAGCACAAGGACAGCATCTTCTGCATAGCGCAGCACCCCGTAAACCGCGATATCATCGCCACAGGAGGCGGCGACGATGTAGGCTACATCATTGATGTGTCGGCAGCAGCGGCAGCGCAACCGAGCAGCGACGGCCAACCCACCGAGCGCGAAGGACTAAAGAGCATATTCACACTAGACGGACACACGGACTCAGTCAATGCTATCGCCTTTACTGCGCCCAAAGGCCAGTTTGTGGCTACTGCAGGTCTAGATGGCAAGCTGCGCGCGTGGCAGGGAGTGCCTGACGGCAAGAAATGGAAGTTCCTGGCCGAAGCACAAGAGGTGGAGGAAATCAACTGGCTCGTCTCAAACCCTTCGCCCGACCACCCCAACGTGGTCGCGCTCGGAGCCAACGATGGTTCAGTGTGGGTGTACCAGATCAGCACAGACAAGGGCAACGAGCTACAGGTCCTGCAAGCGTATTACCTTCACACCGAGTCGTGCACAGCCGGTGCATGGTCGCCTGATGGCTCATTTCTTGCGACCATCTCTGAAGACTCGAGTCTATATGTGTGGGACGTGTTTGGCGATGCAGCGTCACAAGGTCTGACTGCGACAACCGACTCGCAAGCCGTTGTCGGTCTCACAGGCAACGACGAGCGCTTCCGCGTCGAGGGCGGTCTCTACTCTGTTGGCATCGCGCCCTCAGGTGCATTCGTAGCTGTTGGTGGTCCTGAAGGTCAGATTCGCATCGTTGGTCTGCCCCGTCTTTCTCTCGCTGGAGCGGCACAAGCATCAACATCATCTGGTGGAGGAGGCGCAAAGAACAAAGCTGGAGGTGGCAAGCAAGCCGGGGCCAAAGGAGGCGCATCATCAGCAGGTCAGGCTGGACAAATCCTGGCTAGTTTGCAGGCAGGAAGTGACAACGTTGAATGTCTGAGCTTCTCTACGGCACCACTTACGCTCATGGCTGCCGGTAACGTGGACGGCTCCATTACTCTCTTTGATACCGCACATCGCTTTGCGGTTCGAAGGCGGATAGAAGATGCGCATGCAGACGAAGAGTCGCCGCAAGCCGTTGTCAAGCTGGAGTTTGTTGCAAAGGAAGGACCGGGAGGATGGTTGTTGACGAGCGCGGGATACGATGGTGTTTTGAGGCGCTGGGATACACGGGGTGGAACTGCCGCGGCTGGCAAGGGTCTGGTGGGCGAATGGAGGGGACACAGGGGTGGAGGTGAGGGGGGTGGTATAATGGCTTTTGTTCAAGGAGACGGCGAGGCGGTTGTCACAGCTGGTGATGACCATGTCGCACTCGTCTTCAAGACGCCTCTCTCTGGATGAACGGGACCTTTTTTTTGGGCATCTTCTACAAGAAACATTGAGATGAACAAAACTTTGAATTGTACAGTATGAAAGATGAAAGATGGGTTTGTTGTTGGGCTGTGTTGCCTCATACCAAGCACGCACCCCACCCCTCGTTGGTGAGCAAAGACACGATGTCGATGAGTGAAGGCCATCAGCCAGTTGTTTTGTCGCAGCACCGGTTAAAATCCCCACCATCATCAACACCTTTTGCCCAAACTTGCTCGATTGGGATGCATCTCGGTGCCATGTTAGTGGTTGGGGCCCATGGCTGCCATCGGACCGCGCTCCCCAGCTTTCTCATTGGGCCTATGTCACCACACGTGGCTGAAGAGATCCGATAGATGTCGGAGATTAATTATTTTTACTTTTTTTGCCCATATTATCCGCTGCTTGCATGGGAGTTTCAGAACTTCCCGGTGGTGTTACTCGATGCTTCGACAAATGCCTTTCGGGAGGGAAGGGGAGGGGGGAACCGAGGTCAGTTCTGTTAGAATGCACTCAAACACGACGAGACGAATTACTTGAATGGGGGTGCTTGCAGCCAGGCTGCCTCAACGCATCATGGCCCGTTGTGACATGCATGGAGATCGGGATGTGAGGGAATCGCGATATGAGGCGTTCCTTCGCATGCATATCTCTTTCTCGCTTTGTCTCTTTTGAGGCGTCGAAGGAAGCACCCCCCTCCCCACTATTACTGCTTCTTTACAAGTTACGCCCGGTATATGTCCATTTTCTCTTCGCAGCAAACGCCACAACGGTCATTTTGCGATCAGCGGGTACCGTACCCCCCGTATCGTTATCTCCCGCATACGCTTACACCTGGGGGCTGTCAGAAAGTCGATATGATCGCCACTCTCTCTCTCATTCTGGCAAGATTGATGCTATTGGATACGGCACAAGTGGCCGAAGGCTGTTTCCCAAGTCGTGGTAGCATAACCAACCCCCCCGCTCTCTGTGCCCCCTTGTTCCCGCGGCCCCTCCTTCCTCCCTCCCTCCCTTCCCTTTCCTTGTTGCGAACATGGCAGAGCCGTTGCAGCCACCGGTACCAAACGGGCCCTAATGTACTTAGACCTACCTCCAACGCCAGAGTCTGTGGCACCCGTTGCGAGTCGCTCTTTCCTTTTCCTCGAGGCTTGCTACTTGTCGCCTCAGAGTCTGGCCAGACTGACGTCATATCGGCTGATGGCCCACACTTGACTTACCTAACGTCAACCCATCCATCTCCTCTCTCCTTCCTCTCTTGCAGCTTGAACCTTTGCTGCTTACATAACATGCAGCTTCCCCACTTATTCCCTTTTGGCTTCGCGAGTGATCCTCAGGGTCTTAGCAGCTGTGTGTGTATGTACGTGGCACCTTGCTCTCCCGCCCAACCACTACAACTCCAGGCGTGCAGCCCAGAAAAAAGGTTGAGCCGGATTCCTCCCCGGTTGGAGCAAGAGAAAGAGACGGTCCGAGAGGTTACACCAGTGACATGGTGGGCGTATAAGCAAAGGCGGTTCACTCGGTATCAGATTCGGACATGGAGGTTCTGGTTGGACAGCAAGGGATAGTGGGGGAATTGGAATTGGCCGTTATGCAAGTGAGGGAATGCCCATGATGCAGCTTTTGGACAAACGTCGTTGGCTCTTAGGCGATGTTCTCCGCAGCCTATCACGCGTCGCCCGCTTACTTGGATTTGCCGGCTCCGACGTTCTTTTTTCCCTTTCCTGTTCTTGCTCCCGCGGCCTTGCGGTCTTCTGTTTCGTGGTCCAGAACCAGACGTTGGGTCCCGCTACTCTGTTACGCACGCGCTTGTGGTCCCAGATATGACAGGCATGGCTTGGCTAGCCATCTCCAAAAGTGGGCCTTTACAAGACTATCAGTTGGAGTAGATTGGGGTTCTTCCGTGGGCACTTCTGCACGGGAACGCTACGCCCGCTGTCTACCATGATACATTGCAAAGTCCCTGGTCGCAACTCGGCACGCCCTACATGCTTTTGCGATTGCTCGAACAAGAACCATGGTACTTGCATACAGTACAGAACATGCCGTCAGTCACACAAGGTGGGGAATGCGCTTTGACACACACAGGTAGCAACACTAAGACGACTCAAGGGCTTTGACGTTGCACTTGCCGTGGCAGTCTCATGCATTCCCTCAGCTCACCCTTACGTATGTATGTACGTACTTTGGGGAACACCCCCCCCCCCTCCTCCTCACCTGCCAATGTAGCCTCTGTTCCTACACATTTGGTTGACGGGCAGGCGTGCCGAACTGGCCCATTACCCGCCATGGTAACAAAGCCACCGATCTCGTCCCTGAAGTACGTCATCTCTCATGCTCCACTTTCCCTTTTCCCTTGCAAAAGAATTACTCGCCTGAGGAATCTGTCCGAGTGGGTCATAATGAACACATCCGAGCAAGGGGGGTGTTCACAAGAGAGGAAGAAAGAAAGCAGTGTGTACCTTTTCAGTGGGACCCATGTCGGTTGATCGCCCTTGGCTGAGTAAAACCCGAATCCAACAAACAAAGAGATTCATCACACAGTTGAGTCCTTAGCCAGCGATCGGGAGAACATGCCGCGGCTATTAGCAGATTACCGACTATCGATTGACACGAGAGCTATCGATTGTGAGACGGGTGCGCATGTAATTAGTCCCTGCTTTGCGCAATGCCGTTGAGCATGTGGGTATCCACTTTGTCATGATGTATGAACGTGCAAGACGTGTAGAGTGTGAAGGTCAACGTGGTTAGCCATGTGTAAGCGTACAGTGTACGCGTATGTGTCGTTTGATCTTGAATTTTTTTCGAAGAAAGAATGTGCAGGAACATACTCAACAAAATCTATAGTCAAAACCTAGAGAGAGAGAGAGAAAAAGAAAAGTATCGAAAAAAAAGAAGGCTTCAATTCCACGATCAAACAATTGCCATTGAAGAACAAAGCGACGGTCAAAAAGTAACTACCGACTCCAACACACCAAAGTACACGTCTCACCGACTGCCTCATCGGGACTCTCCTGCATACGGTAGCCCTACTCTCCCCCCCCCCCCCCCCCCCCTCCCTCCCTCTCTCTCTCACTGTTCTACGGACGAGTTCTCCGTTGACGAATGGAAAACACGTATTGTTGCGTCATCTTACCTTGCAAAAAAAAAGCCCGAAAAAGGGTCGAACAAGGGGGGAGGGGGCGGCATGGTGGCAGGCAAACGGGAAAAAAATATGTGGGGACAACACGATGAAAAATTAAGGTTATTGCATGCACATGCACATGCTTGCAACTTTGGTGCTGCTGCTGCTGTTGCTGTGCGACAAAGCGGGGACTAGGGGCTTAGCTGTTTGCTTTTGGCATTGACGCAAGTCGTGGGCATTGGGTACGGGTAAAGGGTCCATTTGGGACGGAAAGTTCAGAGAGAAACGTCCATGTGAGTGTATGTATGTGTTTGTGTGTACATGTGCATGTAGCATATATGTCATTGTGACTATCTAAAGAAAAAGAGCAATGATCGCCATCAATAGCTCTTTTTGATTTGGTTATATGTAACGTGGTTCACAAGCGAGTCGGCCACCCAAGCGAGTCGGCCACTTT